GGAAGTAAATCACCAGATTTGCTGATGTATCAGGGTCCACCAGATACTGCAGAAATAATAAAAACATTGCCTCAGAAATATAGAAGGAAACTTGTATCTCAAGAAGAAATTGAATTTATCCAAGTATGTTGGTGTGCTTTATCATAAGACTGTGCAAAACACTATAACATTTTGGCTTTGGAATTTCACTTACTGATTTACATGTTCTTCACATTGTCTTGTCAAGTTGTGGTCATAGCTAAGACAGATCATCAGGTAGTCCAGGGCTGTGAGAAACAAACCATAGTCAGCCCTCAGTAAACTGGCATGATATATCAATAACAGTAGATATACATGAAAAACAGCTCCTTGGGTCCACAATAATTTTTCAGAGTGTAAAGAGCTTCTGAGACCAAGAAATTTGAGGACCACTGATTTGGGTCAAACTTGAGTCCCTTCCAGTCTGAAACTATATTTATAGCAATCAATATGAGTACCCAAAAGGTAGGAAAAACCCAAAATTATTTAAAAAAAAAACTATAGATTATTTGCTCATAATTGTGTAAAGTGGCCATGAAAAAATTTACTGTGTCAATTAATATCTAATCATACTGCTTTATTTTTTCCTTTTCAGCGTGGAGGTCCAGAGTAATCATTGTGGCTGCTGTTTGTCATCAGACAGAAGAATTACTTCACAATAAATGACTTCTAAAATGAAAAATGAGAAATTGTATATTAAGCAACTTTAATATTGAGACAGAGTCTCACTTTGTTGCCCAGGCTACAGTGAGTGCCGTGGCATCAGCCTAGCTCACAGCAACCTCAGACTCCTGGGCTCAAGCAATCCTCCTGCCTCAGCCTCCCGAGTAGCTGGGACTACAGGCATGCGCCACCATGCCTGGCTAATTTTTTCTATATATATATTAGTTGGCCAATTAATTTTTTTCTATTTATAGTAGAGACGGATCTTGCTCTTGCTCAGGCTGGTTTCAAACTCCTGACCTTGAGCAATCCTCCCGCCTTGGCCTCCCAGAGTGCTAGGATTCAGGTGTGAGCCACCGTGCCGGCCTAACGTTATAATTTTTAATACACAACATGTGACCACTTAACATAACTTTTAGGTAATATAGCCTTAAGTTATGGTAAATATTTAGAGTGACCATTGTTTTGATGATATAGGTCAGTGGTTTCTAAATCTGGGGAGCTTTTGAAATATTTACTGAGCCCAAATATGGGCTATTCTGATTCTGTTATGTTTGTATGTAGAAAGCCATAAACCTGTTTTTGAAAAGCTTTCAAAACTTGTTTTAGTACACATATTCTAAAATTAGACTGATAAAGTGATTAGATAGACAAAGGATATTAATATACAGTTCCAGAAAAAGAAATACAAATGGCCCTTAAAAGTATTTAAAAACATTCAACCTTACTCATTCTTTCTTTTTTTTTTTTTAAACAGGGCCTTGTTCTATCACCCAGGCTAGAGTGCAGTGGCATCATCATAGCTGCATAGCTCACTGCAACCTCAAACTCTTGGGTGCAAGGGATCCTCCTGCCTCAGTCTCCCGAGGAGCTGGGACTACAGGCAGCTCCACAAAGCCTGTTTTTACCAAATGGATTGCCTTGCTAATTTTTACATTTTTTGTAGAGATGGGTCTTGCTTTTGTTCAGGCTGGTCTCGAACTCTTGTCAACCTTACTCATTCAAAGAAAAATTTACACTGAAACAGTATTTTCATCCATCAAATTGGCAAACATGTGACTTGGAAAACACACTCTGGGGAGACTGGGGATAGAGGCACTCACCTACATTGTTAGTGGGAGGAAAAGATGGTACAACCTCTACGGAGGGCAATTTGGTAATTTTAAAATGGAAAATTACTGATTTATCTTTTCACCTAGGATTTATACTTCTGG